TGCAACAGAGAGAGAGAGGGAGAGAGAGAGAGAGAGAGAGAGAGAGACAAAGAGGGGGAGGCCAACTCTCTTTCTTGGTGTGGGGGAGGTGAGGGGGAGGATTAACCGGCTGATCTGCGACACACGTTTACACACACACATACACACACCACACGGACCACACATTTCATACAAACAGAATAACAGCTGCACCGCGAGGCTTCATCTGGATCAGCATCCTCGTCGTCATCATCATCATCAGCAGCAGCAGCAGCAGCAGCAGCATCGATAGACAAAGAGACAGACAGAGGAGGAGGAGGAAAAGGGGATCCTCATCGTCTGAGGAGTCAGACGGGAGGAAAGACAGGATCACAGAGACCGGCCTCCAGCAGCCTGACAGCATCCTCCTTCAGTCATGGCCGACCACATGTTTGTGCTGCTGTGAGCGTGTGTGCTGCTGACGGTGGGTGTGTTCGCTGTGTTTTGGTCCTCACCGTGTGTGTGTGTGCGTGTTATGGGGAACGCAGAGAGCATGGAAAGCCAGCTGGCTGTGATCCGGTCTCGAGCTGCCCCAGTTCGGCTCCCGATGCCTGACCCAGCTGAGCTAGAAGAGAGGTTCTCCATCGCGCTGGTGAGTACACAAACACAAGATGTACACAGCAAACAGCAAATACATGGAAAAGCATTCAACAAACATAGATAAAATATTCATAAATACACAGGAAATACTCCACAAACACACAAAGCAAATATACAACATGGCCTACAATAAATGCAAAACAAAAAATATTCAGCAAATTTAGCATTACAGTGATGTGCTGCAGTGTGCAGAAGCAACAAAATGTGGAGATTCAGTTTTGATAAAGCAATGGACCCTAAGGTGTGACTCTATAGGGGTGTAGGTTGAAATGAAACTTGAGGATTTGGTACACTGCAGTGTTTAGAAGTAAACAAACAAAAACTACAAGGTTTGGTATATGAATAAACGGAATTGAATTGATTATTCTGTAATGTTTAGGGCAGGGATGTCCAAAGTGTGGCCCGGGGGCCATTTGTGGCCCCTGAACTGATTTTGTGTGGCCCCTGACTTCAGTTCAAGAGTTATACTAATTTGTTTGCATATTTATCCTCCCGACACAGGTGTTTGATGTAAATGGAGACTTTCTATTTATTATTAGGGCAAATTTATCACAAAGTAAAATCTTATAATAAAAAATATTGGCAACAAAACAAATTATTTGTCTTTAAATAACCAGACTCGTAGCTTTTTCC